TGGGGTTGGGATGCTTTAACTCATAAAAGTTTATGTTTCATATAAATATGTGCCTAATACCTAATTAACTCTATTAGAATATCTCTAACTCATTACTATATTTTTCTTTTATAACAGAGTAATTCTAAAATAGTATTGGGGTTTGAACGTTTAAACTTAAAAGGAGAAAAAAGATATCAGACTGAGTAAGGAATGGTCTACGAAGTGACTAAACGTTTTCAGTTCGATAGTAATAATAACAAAACAATTTTTGCCTCATTGCATCACTTAATCACAGTAATAGAAAAATATAAGTTTGTTTTTGGTAATTTTCCGATCACTTACCGGTGCTTATTTCTGTTTACTTTTTCGACGAATAAAATGGTTGGAAAATACCGACTAAATTCGACAATTTTTTTGATGATTGTATGGTGATTAGAAATTCATCGGAAATGCCTGATTCCAACCATATTCTTACTGATATGGTGGTCGGAAACGGACCTATTTTTCGTAGTGACATGCTTATGTTGTCGATACCTAGATTTATTTTTATTCTTAGAATCAAACTGAGATAAAAAAAAAGACAACATTTATCTTTTTATGATTATCACTTAAATGTTTACTAGTAAGTCACTGTGGTTTATGGTAGATTTGGTTGAGTGAATAACGGCACATTCCACATCATATAATGTTTATAGATTAAATATAAATTTGATTATTTGATAAAACAAACATGATGTTTTAAATGACATTTTAAAAAAAGTTTGGTATTTACTCGTGGAATTTACTGTTTTTAGGAATCAACCGATTGGAAGAAAATATGATTATTAAATGAGCACTTACAAACAAATAAAGGTGTTTAAAGATATTTTCTCTTATTTACTTAATGTCTTTACTTGATTACATTTTATATGGCATAGATTTTGTTGCCCAATTACAGGTTCTGTAGTATTATTTTTTGTTTAATTACGAGAAAAAAAAATCTTGTTTAGTTATGAACTGAAGTAATTGCTTTCTCTATATTTTTTTTTGGGAAAATTGAAAATAAAAGATGTTATTTTAAAATTTTGTCCATCTATACTTTTATTATTTAAGTTAGGTGATATATACTTTAATTTAGTTAAAATCTTGTTATGCCCTTAATCATAAATATTAGATTTAACCATATTTTATGGAGTAATTTAAAATAATATTTATTGGCTCAGTTGGTTGATGAGTTAGAAATTCTTAATTGATGTCTCAAGTTCGATGC